TTTAACGGCAAGAAGCGCGAATTAATTTATTTAATTAACTACATATTATGAATATTATTTTTACAATATTTAAAAACATTATTATTATTATTATTATTAACGTTATTATTATTATTATCATCGCTGTGGTTCTTCTCGCTTCTTGTGATTATGTTCCATTTGCAATTGATATTTGCGCTGTGGGTTGTGGCGTTGGTATCTACAGTGTTGGCACTGTTGTTGTTGTTGTTGTTATTGTTGATGTTGTTGTTGTTGTTGATGTTGTTGTTGGTGTTGTTGTTAAGGTTGTCACTATTGGTATGATTGTTGTTTACATCATCAATATTGTTGGTGATAACATTGTTATAATTATTGCTGTTGTCGTAATTGTTGTTGTTATAATTATAATGATTGTTGTTTTTATTTAGTAGTCTATTTGAAGGTAGAATGTTGTTAGACTGTACTTGAATGTTCATGGAGGGATTTTTGTTTTGTATGAAAATTGATTCAGCTATTTTCAGGTTTGTGATGTTGTTATTGCAATAAACTATTTGCGTGTTATTTAACATTTGTCGTGTTATGCTGTTGCTGATAAAGTTGTTTAATTGCTCCATCTAGTAGATGCATGGTCAAACGTCTTGACAATGTGGTAGTTGTCATTACAATATATGAAGCATTGTTGCGGTGCGAACATTCACCGACGGAGCATTTATATTCATATATTAGATGACTTTGTTGTAGTTGAGTAGTTGCAGGAAGGCAATTATTTCTCATGATTAGTTGGGATGTTATAATCACAAGAAGCAAGAAGAACCAAGCGATGATAATAATAATAATAACGTTAACAATAATAATAATAATAATGTTTTTAAATATTGTAAAAATAATATTAATAATATGTAGTTAATTAAATAAATTAATTCGCGCTTCTCGGCTGAGCGTTGATATTTACCTTAACAACCATAATATAAACAATCTTGCCGTTAAAATTTTAAAAATCGCGTTTTATATTGTTTATAGTTATTAAATTTATTTTATTGGTTTTCTGTTTTAATTAAATAATTTATATAAATTAATAATTGCTTGTTCCTTCTTATCAAATATCTTACATACCTTATATATAATGCACTGAAGATGAGTCATCTATAACTCGAAATAGCTATTTGCAAATTTATTTAATAAAAATTTTTAAAAACAATAAAATGTCTAATTTCTCTGAAATTAATAAATTAAAAAGAAATATAAAAAAGTTGAACAATGTTGAAAGTAGTGTTGAATTTTTGAAATATATATATATATATATAAATATATATATATATATATATATATATATATAGTATAAGCATTAGTAAACTTCCAATTTAACTTTTCGATTTTTCTAACTGTTAATCGTAAATCATTTTCAAGTTTTTTTAGTTCAAAACCAAAATAATTGCTTTTCTGAAAGTCTTAATCCAACATATATACATGAGCATCTGGTCACATACACAACGTATCAATTCGGGCACCGAAGATGGTATAGGAGTACCGAAAAAAAGATTTTTTGTTCCATCATGCTTAAAATAAATACAAATTTTGGTTTTGAACTCAAGAAACTTGAGAATGATTTACGATTAACCGTTAGAAAAATCAAAAAGCTAAACAGGAAGCTAACGCGGAAAATGTATAATTGCATATATAGGCAATACCCTGAACTTATCAATCTCGAACTCCAAAAATACTATAACTGGTTATCCAATAACAAACTAATCATAAATTATTCGAAATGGACATACATTATCTTTGGTCCAAAAATACTCAACAACCAAGCTTCTAACCTAAACCTATAAATTAATGGCGGTCCTATAAACCGCACCCTGTCAACCAAATTTCTTGGAATCTCCATCACAGAAAATCTCTCAAGGAATTCTCACCTACAAACTACCTCAGACAAAATCAACAAACTCATTGGCATCTTCTACTAAGTCAAATATAAACTCTCTCTTTCTACTCTACACACGCTTTATTGTACATTCATCTACCCTTATCTAACCTACTGCATCACACTATAGGGAAATAGTCCAAAAAGCCATCTGAATAGTTTAATACTCTCCCAAAAAAGATCAATACGTTTAATTTTTAATCTTAAACCGATTCCCATACTAAACCCTTCTTCCTACCACTGGACACACTCCTCTCTTTTATATCTACAACCCAGACAAGCATAAAAATAGCTGGTTCTAAAATTTGAACAGAACTAGTACCTCCCCATTTAAGAGCCATCATAAACCAACAACATTTCAAGTCAAAATTCCGTGCTTTTTTATTGACACTGGATCTCGACTCCACCACCTAATATTATATTATGAATACGCGAGAACAAATGAAGCGGATGGATGGTCTTTATGAATAGTTAAATATTTATATGTTTATATATGTAC